CCGCGGGCCCCGCGCCCTGGCTGCCCGCCACGGGCCGGAGCAAGCGCGACGCCAACAGCAGCCCGCAGTTCCCGGCGCCCACCTACCAGGCGTGGGTGGCCGAGAACCGGCCGGCCGGCACCCCCGTCATCTCGCTGCAGGCCGCCGACCCGGACGAGGGGGACGCGGGGCGGCTGGCCTACTCGCTGGACGCGCTCTTCGACAGCCGCTCCGGCGCCTTCTTCGCCATCGACCCCCGGAGCGGGCTGGTGAGCACGGCGGAGGAGCTGGACCGGGAGACCAAGAGCACCCACGTCTTCCGGGTGACGGCTGTGGACCACGGCACGCCGCGGCGCACGGCGCTGGCCACCCTCACGGTCACGGTGAGCGACGCCAACGATCACGACCCCGTCTTTGAGCAGCGGGAGTACAAGGAGAGCGTGCGGGAGAACCTGGAGATCGGCTACGAGGTGCTGACGGTGCGGGCCACCGACGGCGACGCCAGCGCCAACGCCAACATCCTCTACCGCCTCCTCAACGGGGACGGGGCCAACGAGGCCTTCGAGATCGACCCCCGCTCCGGCGTCATCCGCACCAAGGGGCTGGTGGACAGGGAGGCCGTGGAGTCCTACCAGCTGGTGGTGGAGGCCAACGACCAAGGGAAGGAGCCGGGGCCCCGCAGCACCACCGCCACCATCCACATCGCGGTGGAGGACGACAATGACAACTCGCCGCAGTTCAGCGAGAAGCGCTACGTGGTGCAGGTGCCTGAGGACGTGGTCCCCAACTCCCACATCCTGCAGGTCACCGCGACGGACCGGGACAAAAGCAACAACGCCCTGGTGCACTACAGCATCATGAGCGGGAACACCCGGGGCCATTTCTACATCGACGCCCAGACGGGGAACATCGACGTGGTCAGCCAGCTGGACTACGAGATGAGCAAGGAGTACACGCTCCGCATCAGAGCTCAGGATGGGGGCAGGCCGCCCCTCTCGAACATCAGTGGGTTGGTAACTGTCCAGGTCCTAGACGTCAATGACAACGCTCCCATCTTTGTCAGCACCCCGTTCCAGTCCACGGTGCTGGAGAACGTGCCTGTTGGCTACTCGGTCATTCACATCCAAGCCATTGACGCTGACTCTGGGGAGAATTCCCGGCTGGAGTACACCCTTGTGGAGACCAGTCTCGATTTCCCCTTTGCCATCAATAACAACACGGGCTGGATTGTGGTGGCCTTGGAGCTGGACCGTGAGATGGTGGATTTCTACAACTTTGGGGTGGAGGCCAGGGACCACGGCAGCCCATCCATGACTTCCTCAGCCAGCGTCAGCATCACTGTCCTAGACGTCAACGATAACAATCCTGAGTTTACTCAGAAGGAGTACACCATGCGCCTGAACGAGGACGCTGCTGTGGGTACTAGTGTCCTGACTGTCTCTGCCATTGACCGGGATGTTAACAGTGTCATCACCTACCAGATCTCGAATGGCAACACTCGCAACCGCTTTTCCATCACCAGCCAGAGTGGAGGGGGCCTTATCACACTGGCTCTGCCCCTGGATTACAAACTGGAGCGTCAGTACCTCCTGACCATCACCGCCTCTGATGGCACCCGCGTGGACACAGCCCACGTCTTCATCAATGTGACTGATGCCAACACCCACCGGCCAGTCTTCCAGAGCTCCCACTACACCGTCAACATTAACGAGGACCGACCTGTGGGCACCACAGTGGTGATCATAAGTGCCACAGATGAGGACACGGGGGAAAATGCCCGGATCACCTACTTCATGGAGGACAGCATCCCTCAGTTCAAGATAGATTTGGATACTGGCGCAGTCACAACTCAGATGGAGCTGGATTATGAGGATCAGGTGTCCTACACCCTAGCTATCACAGCCAGGGACAACGGCATTCCTCAAAAATCTGATACCACCTACCTGGAGATCCTGGTCAATGATGTGAATGACAATGCACCTCAGTTCCTGCGGGATAATTATCAGGGCTCTGTGTATGAAGACGTCCCAGCCTTCACTAGTGTCCTACAGGTCTCTGCCACCGACCGGGACTCGGGGCTCAATGGGAGGGTCTTCTATACCTTCCAGGGGGGAGACGACGGAGATGGAGATTTCATCATCGAATCCACCTCGGGCATCGTCCGGACCCTGCGGAGGCTGGACAGAGAGAATGTCCCGCTCTATGTGCTCAAGGCTTACGCTGTGGATAAGGGCCTCCCACCTATGAGGACTCCCATTGACATCCAGATCACCATCTTGGATGTGAACGACAATCCCCCTGTGTTTGAGCGGGATGAGTTTGACATCTTTGTGGAGGAGAACAGTCCCATCGGGCTGGTGGTGGCCCGAATCACAGCTAGTGACCCGGACGAGGGCACGAATGCCCAGATAATGTACCAGATTGTTGAAGGCAACATCCCAGAGGTCTTCCAGCTTGATATCTTCTCTGGGGAACTGACGGCACTGATGGATTTAGATTACGAGGCCAAGTCGGAATATGTCATTGTGGTCCAGGCCACCTCGGCCCCTCTGGTGAGCCGGGCCACCGTGCACATCCGCCTGCTGGATAAAAATGACAACAGCCCAGTTCTGAAGAACTTTGAAATCATCTTCAACAACTACATCAACAACAAGTCCAGCAGCTTCCCAAGCGGTGTCATTGGCCGGATCCCAGCGTATGACCCTGACGTCTCTGATAGGCTTACTTACAGTTTTGAGCAAGGCAATGAGCTGAACTTGGTCCTGTTGAACCATAGCACTGGGGAGCTGAGGCTGAGCAGGGCCCTGGATAACAACAGGCCCCTGGAGGCCATCATGCGGGTGTCCGTGTCAGGTAAGAGGCTGTCTGGTCGGGGCTGTTGTAATGGAAATTTCAGAAATTGTCGTCACTGGGAAATTCAGGTGCTTGCCAAGCCTTGGGGAGTTTTTCTATGGATGTGTATCTAGGGCCCAGATTTTGCCCCTGGATTTGAAGCCCGGAAGGGATTGTTATGGCCAGCTAGTCTGATACCTTGCAAAATACAGGTCTAAAATATCCAGTCTGTGATCCTACACAGAACTCGGGCAGTGTCCTTCATTCAAAAAAACACTCAATCCTGACCGAAATAGTGTGGTGGAGAGTCTAGCCTGTCCTTTGGGGATGTTCCAGTTGGCCAGTGACATTAATTTAAAGCTGGATGTTCAGTGCTGGTGGCCACCTTTTGGCAAGCTCTCTGGCCTTCAGTGTGAATTGAGTTTTGGAGTGCAGGAAGGGGAGGAGTGCGTGTTTGAGTGGTCGCTTTGGAATGGGCTAAATCTGCCTCACCTGAGTGCAAACTCAGAGTATATCTGTTGATCCAGATGGATGCCTTCCTACCCTCGCTGTGGCTGGAACTGCACTGAGTCCTGCCTAGCCTTTTGCAGCAGCTCCTGTGAAAGAAACCCCTCTCCCTTTTCTGAAAAGAATCAACTTCTGGAGCAGTGTTGATCTAAGCTTATTTTTCTGTGTATGTGGCTGGACTGTGAAGATGTGTCGTTGTCTCAGCAGCTCGGTGGGAACAGGTGGACCATTATTACATGGCTGGACAGGGCAGTCACTGACTTGCTGGCTCCTGTTTTTCCACCTTTCAAAGCCTTAACTGGAAGGACTTGCTGGGACTGCTGGAGGGTCTTGCATTAAACTTCTCACTCCCCTCTCTCTAAGCACAAATAGTGTGGCAAAGGTGCAGGATGTGGGACCAGGCCTGGGTTGTGCTGGCTGCTGTAGCTGCTTGATACCTGGCTCAATGCTACAGGGCCAGTTCTGCCAGTTTGTTCAGGCCACAGTGCAAACACGTAGGTTTTGTGTCGTGGTGGTTCTCGTGGAGGAGGTTTTGGCAGTGGGAGTAGGGCCTGGCTGGAAGGGACAATCCCTGTAGGTGCATCCTTCTTCCCAGTGTTTTTCAGTGGCATTGAGCCCTTATTCTGCACCCCCTGTACAGCTGTACCGTACCAACAAAGTAGTGTGATTAGGGCGCAACATCAAAGCTGTAAGAGAGCTGCGAGGGGCAATGGGCTGGGTGGATCTTGGCACAGAGATCCAGTTACAACATGTAGTCATTTCTGCCTTGGCCAGCACTAGGACGAGGCACTGCAATCCTTGAGTGTTTCTTTTGTGCTGCCTCTGGCAGGGACCTGAGGTCAGGCACTGCTTGGGAGGGGATGGGGATTCTCAGAAGAGCCATTGACAGACTGCAGGCTGGCTGGCAACAAATATTTTGAGAGTGACTTTTTTTCATGGGGCAAAGGTTGGGTTTTGCTTGTGTCTCCATGTGGCATTTGCCCCAGGCTTTGACTGCGAGACAGCAGTGCCTTTGGGCTGAGAAACCTGTGACAGGTTGGCAGGCTCTGATCTGCCGCACCTCCCCACCTTCTGCCCGGTTCAGGTTTCCCCCAACAGGTGCCCTGGTGCTGGGAAAACTGTTACTCTGCCTGTGGTCCCATTGCCATAGTATAAGAGCACTTGGCAGTCTTTATTGTATTAGCAGCAGTGCTGTTATCCCCATTGCTGTAGTATCTGAACACCTGGCAGTCTTTATTGTATTAGCTGTAGTGCTGTTATGCCCATTGTGTGCAAGGGGAAATGAGGCACAGGGAGATTAAAACCAGCGATTCTTAACTACTGTGCCTTGAGTTTAATGAGGGTGCCTTGAGTCTAAAAAGTTTGAAAACCGCTGGACTAAACAGCGTGCGCTTAGGTGTGTGGCTGTGGCATGGCTGGGCCCAGCCAGCACTGGGAAAAACAACTTAGCCTTTATTGTGGTTGACCCTTTCTTGCTCACGGCTTCCAGGCCACGTGACCTACCACCCTGCCTTGTCTGGGGAGAGCAGAGAAACAGAATTAGCGGTGTTAATCTGAAGTTAAATAGAAGACGGGTAGATGTGCACCTTAGCAGAGAAGCCGGGGACTGAATGGGCCTTGGGGACAGAAATTTTTTTCTCGGAGGGTGGGATCACTCTTACTGCTTCCCATGATCTAAATCAGGGCAGCCAGGCTGGTACCCTTCACCAGTATGAGTCCCTTATGCTGGGTCTGAGAAGAAGGGACCAGGTTCCGCATCTCAAATCTTTTCCAAATCTTTCAGAGGCTCGCAGGGGCAGGGCCTACCTTGCCTGGCATCTCCACCTCCTCTTCCCCTCTGTCCTGACTCTGCAGTTTCCGTCATACTAGTTGGCACATGTTTCCCTTTTGCCCTGAGCCTGGGAGCCAAGGATCTGAGTTTGCTTTTGGAAAGGAGCTTGCAGGCCAACCTTCCCCTGATGTAGGGAGACTACTATGGCTTTGAAAAAAAAGTTTCTTTCCCCAGTGCCTGGCTGTGCTGTGCTGGGTGGACTGTCCTGTGCGTAGAAGGCATGGCAGGTTGGAAGCAAGGTGTGTCAAGGATGCAAGGTGCACAGTGCTGTGCAGAGGGGACATGTGCTTTGTAGGATGCGGGGAGAAGAGCTGCTGAGGCTGCATTTCTGATGAGCAGGGAAATGTGACCTCCCTCTGCCCCATGCTGGCATCACTGGTGCTCTGGACTCTGCTCACGGGGCAGCCCCTGTGCCAAGCCGTTCAGCATGGATGGCCACTCGCCCAAGCCTGCTGGGCACGGAGCAGCATCCTTCCTGCTGCAACGTGGGGCAGACACTGCATGTGATTTGTGCAGCTTGTGTGTTATCAGAGTGGCTCCCAGGCTTGGTCTGGCTTTTGGGGGCCGCGTATCTCTTTGCTGCAGATGGGAATGTTCAGCCATCCAAAACTATCACATTACTCCCCTGCTGG